GTAAGAGGTTTTCAAGAGCGAGAAAGTTTTCCTTGTTCCTCCTGCTGTTTTTCCTGTGACTCGTGAAGTGATCTCGCCGGCGACGTCTTAACTGCCGTCGTCTCTCCGGCGAGTTCCTGACAAGTGGTATCAGAGCTCCCAGGTTGCGGGCCGGGACTCGATCGCGGCAAGGTACAGCCGTTGGAATCGAGAACGCGCAATCGAGACGCGCTATTGCAGGAGGAAAGGACGGCGTGGTCCAGAGGGTGATTCGTGAGGTGAGCGCCGGGACCGGGTTCCCAATGCTCACCAAGACCAACTACTCCGACTGGGCACTGCTCATGAAGGTCAAGCTCAGAGCCCGGTTGCTCTGGACCGCCATTGAGAAAGGGGGCGTCGAACCCCACGAAGACATGCAGGCGCTCGACGCGCTCTGCAGCGCCGTGCCGCCGGAAATGTGGCCGGTGATCGCGAACAAGGAGACGGCCAAGGAGGCCTGGGAGGCTATCGCCACCATGCGGATCGGCGATGACCGCGTAAAGAAGACGTCGGCTCAGAACTTGCGGCGGCAGTTCGACTCGGCGACGTTCAAGGAGGGAGAGTCTGTTGAGGACTACGCGCTGCGTCTCAACAGCATGGCGTCGACTCTCACCACCCTCGGCGACAAGGTCGAAGAGACGCAGGTAGTGGAGAAGATAATCCGCAGTGTTCCCCAGCGTTTCAGGCAGATCGTGGTCGCGATCACGATGCTGCTCGACGTGTCGACGCTCACCGTCGCGGATTTGACGGGTCGGCTCAAGGCGGCGGAGGATGCCTTCGAGGAACCGCCGTCGGCTATGCACCACGACGGCAAGCTGTACCTGACCGAGGAAGAGTGGGATGCACGGCGGAGGAAGCGTGATGCTGAGAATACTGGTGGTGGAGGTAGCAGCAGCGTGACGCACCGTGGCGGACATGGGCGCGGGCGCGGGCGCGGCCGTGGCAGCGACAAGGGCTCGTCATCAGGCGGCCTGACGGGCAACTCAGGCCGGCCCAGAGGTGATGAGTGCAGGAGATGCGGGAAGCTGGGCCACTGGGCCCGCGAGTGCCGCTCCAAGCCCAAGAAAGAGCAGGCCCACGTCGTCCAGAATGAGGAGGAGGCCTCGCTCCTTCTCGTGAAGTCAACGACGGCCATATCGACGGCGCCGCCACCAACCTCCACTCCACCACGTTTTGCTGCGACTCCGCAGGCTGAGGATCGGCTCCGACGTGCAAGCCCACCGCCGCCGGGAGCAAAAGGGGTCCCCGTCAGTGGAGGGGCCGCCAAAGAAGAGAAGAAGCCAGGCGCCCAGACCCAGATCCATCTGCGGGAAGAGAAGGTGTTCGCCCACCTTGAAGAGGAGGAGCTGCGTGATGAGGAGGCGTGGGTCGTGGACACGGGCGCCACGAACCACATGTCGGGTTCCCGTACGGCTTTCACCGAGCTGGACACGGAGGTACTTGGGACGGTGCGGTTCGGCGACGACTCGGTGGCGCGGGTCGAAGGCCGGGGGGCAATCGCGTTCCTGTGCAAGAACGGCGAGCACCGGTCCTTCGCGGGGGTGTATTACATTCCCCGACTGACGACGAACATCGTCAGCGTCGGCCAACTCGATGAGGCCGGGTACCATATCGACATCGAGAAGGGGGCGATGAAGATCCATGAGCCAGGGGGACGGCTCCTGGCGAAGGTCATGCGCGGAGAGAACCGGCTGTACATTCTCCACGCCAAGCTAGTTCGGCAGGTGTGCCTGGAGGCGCGGGCAGTCGAAGAAGCTTGGAAATGGCACGCGCGCCTCGGACATGTCAACATGACCGCGCTGCGGAAGATGGCTCGGGAGGAGCTGGTGCGCGGGTTGCCGGCAGTTGGTCAGGTGGACCAGCTGTGTGAGGCGTGTCTCGCTGGCAAGCAGAAGCGGTCGCCGTTCCCCCAGCAGGGAGAGTACCGGGCGCGGCGTGTTCTGGAGCTGGTGCACAGCGACCTCTGTGGTCCGATTGCGCCGGAAACGCCAAACGGCAGCAAGTATTTCCTGCTGCTCGTGGATGATCGAAGCCGGTACATGTGGGTGGCCATGCTGCGTTCAAAGGACCGTGCTGCGCTGGCCATCAAGGAGATCAAGGCTCGGGCAGAAGGCGAGTCAGGACTGAAGCTGGGAGCGCTCCGTACTGATCGGGGCGGCGAATTCACCTCACATGAGTTCGCGGAGTACTGCGCGGGAGAAGGTATTCATCGTCAACACACGGCGCCATACAGCCCGCAGCAGAATGGCATCGTCGAGCGCAGGAACGGCACGGTGGTAGCAACCGCGAGGAGCATGCTCAAGGCAAAGGGGCTGCCGGGCTGGTTTTGGGGTGAGGCAGTGGCAACTGCTGTATACATCCTGAACCGGTGTCCGACGAAGAGCGTGGACGGCATGACCCCTCTGAAGGTGCACCATCTGAAGGTGTTCGGATGCATCGCCTACGTCATGAACACGACTCCGAGTACGGATGCATCGCCTACGTCATGAACACATCTGAGGACCGCGGCCGCAGGATGATCTTCATCGGCTACGAGTACGGATCAAAGGCCTACCGTGCCTACGATCCCACCACGAGGCGTGTCCATGTGACACGGGACGTGGTGTTCGACGAGAATGCCCAGTGGGACTGGGGCAGCGGCGCGGAGCAAGGGGATGCGGGCAGCCACGACGATATGTTCACATTGGAGTATGCCGTCGGGAACCAGGTACCTCCGGAGCTCGATGGCGCCATCGAGGTACTTGATGATGATGCGCCGGGACCGGAGCCGATGTCGCCACCGTCCGTGCACTACAGTGGGGGAGCGGCGCCGATTGAAGATGGAGGAGAGGAGGTGGAGTTCGCCACTCCACCCAGTGTCCACATCGACCACCTGGATGCTAATCACGATGATGCGCCACTCCGGTTCCGCAAGATCGACAACATAGTTGGGCTGGCCTCGCCGCGTGGTCTCGCGTCGCGGGCGTTAATTGCAGAGGAGCTGCACGCTGTAAGTTCTGATGAGCCGGTCTCTTTTGCTGAAGTAGAGGGCCACCCGAGCTGGAGGAAGGCTATGGAGGAGGAGATGGCGTCGATCGAGGAGAACCGCACCTGGTCCCTGGTAGACCTCCCACATGGTCGCCGGGCGATCGGGTTGAAGTGGGTGTACAAGGTGAAGCGGGATGAAAACGGAGCCGTGGCGAAGTACAAGGCGCGCCTGGTGGTGAAGGGCTATGCGCAACGCCAGGGGATCGACTACGACGAGGTGTTCGCACCTGTGGCGCGGCTGGACACGGTGCGCCTTCTCATTGCTCTCGCGGCGCACGAGGGGTGGGAGGTGCACCACATGGATGTCAAGTCGGCGTTCTTGAATGGTCTCAAAGAAGAGGTGTACGTGGAGCAGCCGGCCGGTTTCATCAGCACGGGCAACGAGCACAAGGTGTTCAAGCTGAAGAAGGCACTCTACGGCTTACATCAGGCGCCTAGGGCCTGGAACGCGAAGCTGGACGAAACGCTGCTGTCGTTCAGATTCAGGAGGAGTCCGTCGGAACATGCCATCTACACCAGGCGGAACGGGGAGGCGCAGCTGGTGGTCGGGGTGTACGTCGATGACCTGGTGATCATCGTAGTCGTACAGCAAGGCTCAGGAGGAGATTGTTGTGAACGGGAGCCTTGCACGTGCCCCCCCGCCCTGTTCGCATAACGATAACGGCATAGTGCGGTTATGCGAGAAGTGCTCTAACGTATACACGTTAGAGCGCATTGTGAGGTAATGCGGAATTTGGTAATGCGGGATTTCCTGCATAACGCACGGTACTGGCCAGTTTTGGCCAGCTAGTTATTTCTTACGGTTATTCCTTTCCCCCTTTGATTTCTTATTTAAAGAGGGCTGTAAGAGGTTTTCAAGGGCGAGAAAGTTTTCCTTGTTCCTCCTGCTGTTTTTCCTGTGACTCGTGAAGTGATCTCGCCGGCGACGTCTTAACTGCCGTCGTCTCTCCGGCGAGTTCCTGACATTACTCAACCCGTTGTCTGCTCGAGAGGAAGATCTACGCCTTCGACCAGGGACATATCAAGGACGGGCTGAGGGTGGTGCAAGAGAAGGCGGCGGGCGTGGGGAGAGTGCTGACGGAGGGGGAGAAGGCCCTCGCTGACAGCGGCCGCGGGGTGGCTCTGGCCATCCAGGACGAGCAGGGCCGGAGGTACTTGGTGCTCTGGCGCCGCCGCGGCTTCGGCACCACAAACTACATGATCTGCGGCGGCGGCTGGACCCAATTCGCCGAGAACCACCGGCTGCACACCGGCGACGTCCTCCGCTTCTGCTTCAGCCGCGCGGTGCCCATGGAAGGCTCCGGGAGGCTCTACCTCGGGGTTCGGGTGCTCAGGCCGGCGCCCGTCACTGCCGGCGGCGATCTCGCCGCCAAAACCACGGGGGAAGCCGCACCCGCCCTCCAGAAGGAGCCGTCCACGGCGATGCCCGTTCTTGATAGCCCCTCTTCCGACATGAAGATTCCTCCCACGCCCCCCCCTCACCTTCTATTTTCGGCGATCACCGAGCTAATGCTCTTCGCCTGAAATCTTCTTCTTGATCGCATCTCCTCTAATGCGAGATTATATAGACAAATTCCTCTATTGGTTAATCTTACCACCCCCCGCCCCCCTCCCCCACTCAAACCAGAAAAAGAAGAGAAGAAAAAATGGCACAAATCTTTTGCTGTTGACTCCATCGAAAACTCGCAAGATTTGTCCCTGGAATCACCGCCGGTAATTCTGAGTAATTAACTCATCAGACGCCTAGGACGATTGAAGATTAGGCTTTATGGTTTAAATATATGGCTACCGATACCCTACTTACTAAAAACAGCTAAAGCAAAAAGGCTGCATCCAAGACTTTATAGACTTCCAAATTGATTCTTCAGAGTTGCAATTAGCAACAGACGCTGGGAATATTCACCAAGAGATCCTATCAGCATCAACAGAAAAGAACAGAAGTGAAAGCGAGAATCTCAGGGGGATCGCCAATTCTCTCCAGCATAAACTGCTTGCTCCCCAAGCTCCTCCTCGATCCGCAGCAGCTGCGGGAGGCAGGGTTCCAGAGTGAGAAGCTCAATCTAAACTGTTCTGTGGTTACTAGAAACTACTGCCTTTCCAAGGGCATATTGAGCAGGAAATAACGGAAATTCATCTTCTGAAATGATGACATAAATAAGAGGCAACTAGATTGCGATACAAAATAGAAATAATTTGCAATATATAGAAATCTGATTGTGGTATAAAATAGAGATAATTGGAAATAAATGAAGAAGACTTATCCCCTCAAATTAAGATATAACATAGAAATAACCCTAGATATGATATATCTATATATTGGAGTATCCTACTAAGCAAAACATAGAGATTCTGACGTATATATGTGCAGTCTGGTCATAAGTCATAATTAGAGGCACCTGATTGTACTTGGCAACACGCTCTCCCCGGCATGGCGCTCCTGCCTTTATCTGTCCGGTGGCAAGACCGACCGCTAAATCAGCAATAAAGGAATCTTCAGTTTCTCCACTCCTGTGGGATATGACCACGCCCCAATTGCCATCCTTTGCCTGTTTCGCAACCTCAATGGCGTCTGTGACAGTCCCAACCTGATTGATCTGGATGAACAGAAGAAGATCATCACAACTTCTGGCCAGTGAGGCCAACAAATCAACTATAAACTTGAAGTCAGTTCCCACAGTAGACTTCTTGCATCAAAAAGAGGATGAAGTTGACATATATCGTCAGAAAATCTCCAATGATTAGATAACCTCTGGAGAGTATCATCCATATGGCATTCATAATGCCACGCTATGCAGAAATATGGTGACAGTGATAGAGGGAAGGCAAAGAGAAGCTGCATTGATTTGGCTAAGATCTTAAAGAGGGATAAACTTCAGGTATTGGGCACCCACTAACAGATAGGGGGAAGCTAAAAGCGACACCAGGATTAAGATAAGGGATTGAAATCAAATCAACTGAGGTTGAAGCAGAGAGCAAAAGAACAAGATAACAGTTTGTATTTTCTTGTATGCATGATGGGATCACGAGCATGATTGGGTACCTTCAGGAGAAGACCATTGCAAGAAGCCTCGTCTATAGCCCGCTCCAGGCGTTTAGGGTCTGATGATAGCAAATGGTCTCCGACAACCTAAAAGTATGTTCTGTCAATTGAAGATCTTTCCCCACCCCCCGCAAAAAAAAACCAAAAAACAAAAACAAAAAAACAAAAAAAAAAAAAAAAACAAATGAGTGGCCAACCTGACAAAGTCCGAGGTCAGTGAATGCTTTAGTGTGTAGCCAATCATTCCTGTCAAAAGGATCCTCGATGGAAACAATTGGATAGTCTGACAAACAAAATAGATTACTAAAACATGAGTTTCCAGCGTTCTGTCGAGAAGAAAAAACGCCAACTAGAGGTAAAATAGTACCTGTGCAGAGTTGTGCATACATCTCGGCCATTTCTTCTCCAGTCTTGAAAACCTGACCCGACTTATCTGGTGACTTGAAGTCCATATCATACTTGTTCCCTGTATGAGAGAAAAGTTAATTCACCAGCAGAGGTTTGCAGAATTTGGCGTTAGAGGCAACCTGGAAGTCTGAATACGCAGGTTAAACAGAATATTATAAGAAACGTTTATAGACCAGATCTGTGGCAGAGAAGAGATGACAAGTACGAAACTGAGCACCATCAGATCTATGTCATTTCCCTACGCATCACCTTGTTCCTAAAAAGCATACTACAACAGCTAGTAGGTTTTACCTACGCAAAAATTGGTAGCAGCCACGTCCATTGCCATCTTAATTCTTCCATTACAGCCTGCCCGATTGATTGCCTCTTTCACAAGATCCAAGGCCTCTCTGAAACTGATAAAGAAATTAAACAACATCAGGCACCATTTAGTTCAATGACTTCAAATGTCAGGTAACCAGGTATAAAATAAATAAAGATTGAAATGATAATTACTCGGTAATGTTTGGAGCCAAACCACCGTCTTCACCTACATTGCATCCAATTGATCCATACTTTTCCAAGATAATGGCCTGATTTGTAGTCAACGTGTGGAAGGTAAATTAAAAATTAACGAGGAAAAAAAATACTTGAATAACTGAAGTCACAGGCCATTCAAAGATTGAGAAGACACTGAAATGAAATCATAGACAGTAATGAAATTTCTATCAGATGAAAGAGAATGATTGAAAAAGAAAGAAACTCACCTGGGAGATTGATAGATTGAAGAAAATGGCTGTCCCATTTCATTACAGAATGATTGGGAAATCAGCCTAAAATTGGCCGACTTTCCTAGAGCTAAAAAAAAGATAAAATTCGTATCCTTGGACTGCTAACAAAACGGGTCGAAGGGTGTAAACTGTTTGACCTGAAATCTCAATAACGATTTGGTTTACAAATTTAACCACTAATTTATTTACCGCTTGAAAAAAATGATGGTCTCGTAATTGGTGATCGATGGCATGCAATGCCAGTGACATAGGTTTTTTTTCAAAATTAGACATAGATATCACAGACTTATTTAGCCTAAATATGTCGACCTTGAACATATATAAACTTGGCGCCTTTACACTTGTTTACAAGTTCACTGGCACTTTTCAACAGTTTATTCAGAATTCGCCTTTTTTAGCATGAGTTACAAGGTAATCAAGAACCAAATATACCTTTTGAGTTCACTCTATCAGGAACAAATTCATGAAAATTTAAAAACTCGAGTCCGGAATAAATTGGCCAATATTTCAAATGTACAGAGTAGGTTGACTTATTTAATATTCAATTTGAGTACTAAATGACTTAGTATGAAAAGAGAGGAAATCATCTTGGCTTTGTTTATACGCAACCTTGTCTTCTGAACATGGAGACAAGCCCTTTTACTTTAAGAGAGGCTACTACATACGTCTACATGCAACTTTGGATCCACAAACCAGAACTTTGACACAGCCATGCTTACTGGCAGTCACTTTCTAAATACAATAATAAGCAAGCAAAATAAAATAAAGAAAAATCACCATGAAGGATGATAAGGCAATAAAGACAGGCAAATTTTGTTACCTTCAGGTGATAATACGTCTCAGAACCCATTTGCATAGCCTCCTCAAATGTATTTGCTCCAACTGGAAGAATCATAATCTCCTGATAAATTTTGATCGTCAAGTTCATCTATTTATGGATGAATATTCTTTCATCTTTTTCAAGCTCTTTACGGCATACTCAACAACGAAGTTAACAGTCAGCTCAGATATCCGACCTATTCATGAATTATGATAGTTTACATCAATTCTACGAAGAAAATAAACAAATTATTGTTGGAGAGATGTACGCCAGGAAAGGTGCATCTCCCTGATTTTTTTAGTTTGAATTATACTTAATGGCCTGATTTTTCTGCACTTAGGCGGGAACTTATCCGTCAAATGTTTCATAGGCAGTCAATATATTAGTCCCTTGAAGGCAAAAAGATTATCAAAAAACTTCCAGTCTTTCGGCAGATAAGAACAAAAGATAGAAGCAAGACACGAGAACAGCCAGAGTCAGAAAGAAGAACAAGCCACACAATTGATCGTCATTTTCCATCTGAAATACAGAGAAACAGCAACTGTGCACTGATAACCATAACTCCACATCAGAGACCCTATACTTTTTTTAATTATTTCCAATTCATTGAAAAAAGGAGTGGCAGACAAAATGGTGGTAATCTTCTCATTATACTCGGCTATATTTAACCAGGATAGAGTGCAGTCATGTTATTCAGAAAAAATAAAATAAAATAGGTACCAAATGAAGTTAAAGCAATTTTACTCGAGGTCCAGTTACAAACCTCTGCTTTCTCAGGGTAAACTTTAATAATTAAAATCCCAATAATGAAAAATTTCCCATATATTAGAATCATATATTAAAAAAACTAGGAATATTTAGCATGAGTTTAAATCGTTTTGGCCCAGATATTGAAGAAAATCAAACCGAAGTAATTCAGCGAATATATATTTTTATAACATCTACATACCCAAGGATTGCAGAATCAGATCTGTGCAAAGGTCATACTGATATGCGGAAAGAACTCAAAGCGAGTTTGAAAAGATAAAATAGTAATAATTAAAACTTAATGAAGTACATATAACAATGTTATTTACTTAAAACGCTACTAAAGACAGCAGTACACTTGGTGGCGGCACAGAGGAGAGGACCCAGCAGGCCATCCATGAGTGCCAACCAGTAGTGTTGACTAGCAGCAAAGCCAGGTATAGATCTTCTTTTCTTTCTCCCACTTCCAGACACCATGGCTAGGATGGCAGCCACAGCTGTAGGTGCAATGGATGGCTCTCAGCAGCAATGCTCAGCAGCCATAGGCAGAAGCTCAAGGGGAGATTGAATTTTTCAAATAGAATCTGATCAACTGGTTTTTATCCCAATCTGAATCGACCTAGGCCAACTGACAATTTCATACTTAGTACATCCTGATTGTCAGAACCTTAATGGCCACTGTTACAGCAAGTAGATGATGGTATATATCAAGGTACATCATTCAGGCGTGAGCTTTAAAGTTTATAATAAATTTTATGGTTTAATAAGGCAAACGTGCCACAAAAAATACCTTCACAATTAAATAGATTTATAACCTGAATTTATGGTCATACTTGGGCAGCAAGATTGTTTCCAGCATGTTTTCCACCACTGATAACGGTAATCGCCGGGACTGGGAGAATTAACCCACTTTGACCCGAAAGATCTGCGATATGTTTGCAAAGTAGGACCTGAAAAACAAAGCGGAATTAAAATAGAAGGGAATCCGGAAAAAGTGAGGGACCAATGAACCATCAAAACGGAAGAACACTTACCTCCTTTTCAGCAGCACCGGCTTTGCAGGCCGCCATAGACACAGCTAACATAGCATTTACTCCAAGTTCAGCCTGCATGAAATAAATTGTCTCAAATTATATCAGAGGTGGCATACCCGAGAGAAGCAAAATGTCTCAGCGGTCAATTGGACTCATGCATAGTCAAACCTTTCCTAGTCTAAAACAAGATGCAAAAACTACAACGAAATGCAATCGAAATAGGAAACTATGATAAGTGCAATGCTGCAGTACAAATAAATGTGGGCCTTTAAAATTGAGACCAAATTGTAAAGTTTATTTAGAAATTGAACTGAATCGAGATAATTTCGCTAAGAAACACCAAAGATTGAGCATCAGGGGAAGGAAACTATGAAATTTAATGAAATAGTTCATAAAAAAAAATTGCACATTAGCATCCCTCACAATGAGACGATACTACAAGTAACACTAATCTTTCAGTGATGATCTTTTTGTCAGGCAATCTATGGCCGGTACGAAGGTCACTGAAACAATGATTTTGCATATTTTCTGTGACATCTAATGGAAGACACTCAGTGTTAAAAAAAACTTCGGAACTCTTAGGTCCTTCGATCCATTTCCGTCATTCGGTTTTACAGATTCTGGGCCAAAAAGCAAGATCCAGAATCTTGTAACTATGTACTGCCTCAGGAATTGTGCAATCAGTCAAAAAAAAAGAGGGCAAAAAAAAGTCCCGGATTCGGAGGCTCTCAAATGTAAGCACGGCCCTAAAAAATAAAACCTGTGATTCGTTACCTGCTATGTAGGAAAGGGAAACGGGACTTTTAACGCATGAGAGATAAGTTTTTTAGCAGTTAAGAATAGTTTCGGAGTTACTATAACACATCCTGGGAAATGGCACTTGCCAGAAGTAAAGATAAGTCAAGACACTAGTTTTCAAGTCCTAGCAATAGCTCGCCAAAAAATATAATTTCTAGAAAAATATTTGATCAAAGTTTTAAATTGAATCCATCCGTCACTAATGTTATTGCCATTAGCTCCCAGATGAATCAGGTGAAGCCATCACAGTTAACATGATATTGTCGTCATAATCTCCCTCTTAAATTGCCATATTTTTTGCTAATTTCTTTGTCTCGATCTCTTCCGTCCGAAGTAATCAAGGTCAGGTAAGTTATTTAGAAGCTAGAATCAAGTAACCATTTTTACTGATCAATCTTAACTTTCTATCTCAACTGAAGCAGAAAATTTTATCATACATCAGAGACAAAATCTTTATTAAAACTTTCCATGCGGTACTTGATATGATAGCGCAATATTCTAAGTACTCCATGTAATTCCCTGAGGTACTAGGCATGATGTCTGATGTTTCCAAAAAAAGGTAAAATATTCTCCGAGATGAACATGGAAATTTGCGAATCCCTCAGATGGCCACATGAATTACTCAAAATATTTAGCTTATCAGGATAGAAAATACTTGCCTTGCTTTCTGTTTTGTCCAAGTCCATAATCGTGTGGTCAATCTGCGACTGGAGTGTTGGGTCCATGCCAATCAAAGCTTCAGCAATCTTTTCATTGATGTTCCTAACAGCTTTTGAAACACTGTTTCCAAGATATTTTCCCTTGTCACCGTCACGAAGTTCTGAACGTTCGTATCTATGATCAAGATAGAAGTCCATAATGGTTGGGCACCAGACAATAGAAAATCTGAAAATCACTGTAAGCTTTCCTTGCCCAGGCCTAGAAGGAGAAGGCTCACATTTTGTCAAGGTCACCACTGGGTGCGGCAGCTCGAAACATGCCTTTATTGGTGTACATGTCGACCTCGACGGTGGGGATCCCCTTGCTGTCCAGGATCTGCCTCGCCTTAATCTTCGTGATAGCTGAAGACACCGCCCTCCTCATGTGATTCGACTGACCAAATGACCAAAAGAGAAGTAAAGGGAATGAAAACATTAGGTTGCGATGCAGCAGAGACAACCTGATCCAAGTATAAAGGAGAGCTTAGAGTCCGACTAGCGGCGGGCTTTACGATGTAAAGGACGGGATCGGGCGCTTTCGACCTCACGGCGGCATTGACGGCGTCCTCAATCTTGCGCGAGAGCATGTGCTTGTCCAAATACTCCTGGACTGACATTTTCCAACCGTTTCTTAGCCCTAGATCGACAGTGAATCCAGATGACTGCTCGACGCTCTGTGATCCCAGCTCCTGGAAGTTGTCACCCTCGACCAAAAGAAATGGACAGATCTCGCCGCCCTCAGCGATGGATGCCAACCCTTACCGCTCGTCGTCTGCTGAATCTTCGGGGAGATGTGCGTGTGTGCGAGCGAGAGAGAGTGTACAGCGGGAGAGATAGAGAGAGAGGAGAGTTTTTGGAGGGGAGGGATGTGCCAGGACGGGGGCGCCCGCTCGTCGTGGCCCTCCGGGAAAATGGGCCCATCCATTTCGCGTAAGGTAGCGGGGCTTTTCCCAAAACTCCTGCCAACTTCTGTAGCTATTAATGGGCCAGAGCGAGGCCCAAATGGGCTGGGCTGGACGCAGGAACTTTTAGGCCAAAACTAACAGCTGCCCCCACAACGGCGCTCGACGAAGGCCCAAGAACACTTCTCCCTCTTATCTTGGGCCCGCACAAGGCCCATTTCACCAGATTCTCTCCTCTGTTACCATCCTCACGTGGAACTCGATGGTCCATCTATTACACGCGCGTCATCCGTCCGATAAGTGTTCCTTCCAGACAATCGGATCACGAAGGAACTGTATGTACACGGTACCGATAGTGATTGGGTTGTCCACGCAGAGGAAGTTTCCCGGTCTGGGAAAGCCGCCGACGGTGCCACCGGCGATCACTGAACTGACGTGGTGGCCTCCACAAAATCAACGGCTAACACGATTTATTATTGTCTTTATTACTAATAATATTTTTTTTTATTTCACCCGGGGAGAAGAAATTCTTTTGTTTAAAATTAGGAAAAAGATAATAAAGATAATATTTCCGTAGCCGTCGTCACCGTCGCGAAACGGCGGACTCCGTGAGCCCATCAATGGTCGAGTGCACGCAATCTCACTAACGGTTGCGCTGATTAACGGAGGATTATTCGAAGAAAACCACTGGTAATGTAGACTGTTGTAAAAATACTCCCATGGTGGGTGCCAGGAGGGTTGACTCCGGAATAATCCAGTGATGCGATCAGAGGACCCTTTGGCACCTGCCCCTCTTGAAATTGGGATTGTGGTAATAGTTTCACATTTTTAGGGTTTTTTCATAATATTACTCTCGAGCCGCCTTCTCACATATGCCTTCGCTTGCTTCCTTAGGGGTGTAAGCGGCGGACTTCCGAATTCCTTAAAATGTCGAGCTCAAGGTTGCAGATGCATATGGAGGCAAAAGATGTGTATGTTGAGTCTCCGTGTTCATCGCCCTGGAGGCCATCAGCAGCGGCCTCAAGCTAGGGTTTGAGTCTCTGCTTTTAGTCTGAAGCAGAGACTGGTAGGTACCATCGTTTCTGTCTCGATGGTGTCGTCTGTTGTTCTCTCTGGCGGCGGCGGCCGCCGCCGCCGCCGTGGTTGGATTGCCTCCTGGTTGTGCCTCTTCCTGGTTGTCGCCGTCGCGTTTCTTGGCTGCGGAGAGGCGGCGGTGAAGTCGGATTTTTTGATCGGACTTGGGAGCTACGACATCACCGGTCCGGCGGCGGACGTGAACATGATGGGGTATGCCAACACCGAACAGATCGCCTCGGGGATCCACTTCCGCTTGCGGGCGAGGGCGTTCATCGTAGCGGAGGCCAGTAACGGGGGGAAGCGTGTGGCGTTCGTGAACCTCGACGCTTGCATGGCATCGCAGATTGTCACCGTCAAGGTTCTTGAAAGACTCCAGGCGAGGTAGGCTCCGGATTATTCACGAGCTGACTTCAGTTCTCTGTACTCTTCTCGATTCTTCAGAGTGCCTTCCATGTCTAATTTCATTGTTGAGTCCCATCAAAGGGGGCGAATGGGGAAGTTCTTGTGGTATCTAATTCTAACCCTCGGTAGTCTTCCTGAAAATTCTCCGTGCTTTTCTCATCCAGACCTCAGCATTATCAAAGCTTTGAAACCACGGCTCATGCTTGCCGAGTCATTCTGTCGTCCGGGCTCTTCGCTTAAAATCGATGACGCGTATTCAATCGGGAGGGATTGAGGCTAGGGTTTTTACCACTGTTCGTGTCTGACCTGGCGTATTCACCTCTTTGCCAGGTACGGTGACCTCTACACGGCTGATAATGTGGCCATCAGCGGCATTCACACTCATGCCGGGCCAGGGGGCTACCTTCAGTATGTCACCTATATAGTAACCTCTTTTGGATTCGTTCGCCAGTCATTCGATGTTCTTGTGGATGGGATTGAGAAGACCATCATACAAGCCCACGAGAATCTTCGTCCCGGATCGATCTTGGTCAACGAGGGTATGCAGACACATTCTAATTTTTATTCTCCACTGTTCATAACCCTCCACGTCACAGATCCTCTACTGCACGTTTCTCATTATTTTCACTGAATTCTATGGTCATCTTCATTTTCTAATCCGATTGGGCCATGATTATTAGCACGACTGGTTCCCCAGGATAAATCTTTTTCTAATCTATGGATATTGCTTTTTATGTATAGTGGAATTCTATCATGAGTACAGGGGTCCGAAGAACTTAAAAATTGCTTTTTTTTCTTGCTGGATCTAGGATTTTAATTTTATTTTTTTCTGAGTCGTCACGGAAATTCTGATTTCTTTCCATTTTAATATTTGAGTAGAACTGAATTCTGCAGTCTAATTTACTTTTTTTGTATTTTTTTTTTAAACAATCATGGAAAATTTACAGGTGAGCTCCTTGATGCTGGCATAAACCGTAGCCCCAGTGCCTATCTCAACAACCCATATGAGGAGAGGAAGAGGTATAGCTATGATGTGGACAAGAAGATGACTCTCCTGAAGTTTGTTGACGATGAGTGGGGTCCCATCGGAAGCTTCAACTGGTTTGCGACCCATGGGACTTCAATGAGCCGCACCAACTCATTGATAAGCGGTGATAACAAAGGGGCTGCCGCTCGGTTCATGGAAGACTGGTTCAAGCAGAAAGCTTCCGAGGAAGGCCTTGAAACCGCAGGCTCTGGCCTACTCAGCTCCGATGTTAATGCAGTGAAACTTTCTCGGAGGGTCTCCATGATAATTCCCCAAACTCGTGAGAACCTTGCCGTTTAAATTACTTCTTGTTACGAATGTAGAATTTTTTCATATTCTAATTATTTTTTATTCGATATAGTTCTAATGAATATAATCGACGGCATGATTTACATCTGTTTACCCTTTTTTTAAAAATAGTTTTCACAGAAAATGAGTGACAACCCTGCTGTTTAAACTATTTCATGTCAAAAAAATTCAACATATTCGTGTTCTGTAAGTTTTTTATTCAACGTGGTTTTACAGAGTTTAATCTATGACATGGAATCTGTCCCTTGCGTACTTTTTTTTTTCTAATTATTTTCTGCAGAGAATGAGTGACAACTCTATGGTTCAAAATTATTTAACATCTACAGTGTGGAGTCTCTTCATGATGTGTTCATCTTTTTCCTGCAGAAAGTAAGTGAGAACATAGCGTTTAAAGTATTTCACATCAAACATGTGAAATAATTCAGCATAACTTTATAAATTATTCTTCATTTAACTTCTTTATTTAACAGAACTTTTTTAGAATAAAATAGTCTATGAATTGCACCTGCTTACCCATTTTTAAAAATCCTTTTCTGCAGGAGAAGAAATCGTCCAACATGCCTCCTCCATTGAGGCAACTGGTGGGTGGCCAGCAACGAGCTTCTTGAGTGCAACCCAACGGGTTCGCAGCACATTCAGGCAGGGCAACCGGCCGGCCTTCGTATCGGCATTCTGTCAAACCAATTGCGGTGATGTTAGCCCTAATGTGGCGGGTGCATTCTGCATCGACACTGGGCGACCCTGTGATTTCAACCACAGTACCTGCAATGGGAAGAACGAGCTTTGTTATGGGCGTGGCCCTGGGTAATAATCTCCCTGATTGATCAGTCCAAAAAGATATATATATTTATATACATGTATCATTTAATCATGGTAAATCCTAAGTGATAGTTTCGTCCTGCAGGTATCCTGACGAATTTGAGAGCACCCGGATCATCGGGGATAGGCAATTTAAGAAGGCTGCTGACCTTTTCAACTCGGCCTCTGAGCAAGTAAAAGGCAGCGTTGACTATCGCCATAAATACATAGACTTTTCGCAGCTCAAAGTTACTATCGGTGACCAAGTGGTGAAGACGTGCCCTGCTGCCATGGGTTTCGCGTTTGCAGCAGGAACCACAGATGGGCCTGGAGCATTTGACTTTACACAAGGGGATGATAAAGTAGGTGACAATGACTCCACGGGCAATCATCCTTTGAGCCTTAATCTGATTAATTATGCTAATTTTTCCTGGTTTCTCTTCGCAGGGGAACCCCTTCTGGAGGCTGGTGAGGAACGTACTGAAAACACCCAACCAGGCGCAAGTTGATTGTCAACATCCGAAGCCTATTTTGCTGGACACTGGTGAGATGAAGGAACCGTATGACTGGGCGGTGAGCCTCACGCTGACCTTTTTCTTCTTTCATGCATATTATAGAGAAGTTAAGCATTGATTATCCGATCTGATTTATTCTGTTGTCTCTGTAGAGGATTGATTTCCAGATGGGTTTTGATTACCGATTAATCTTGGTCCTCGCTTTATTTTAGCGTATAATCGTTATTCCAGTACTGTCTGTTGTCTTACTCAGAATTCGCTTCCTTTGACTTTTTCTTCAGCCTTCCATTCTCCCAATTCAGATCCTCCGGATTGGTCAGGTGGTCATTCTCAGTGTACCCAGCGGTATGTATATATATATTTTTCTCTCCTCGCGGGGCAGCCGCCTTTGATTTCATTTGTATTCTGGATCGGCTCTTATGCGATCTTTGAGCACAGAATTCAGTACAATGGCCGGCAGACGTCTCCGTGACGCTGTAAAGGTGGCGCTGACCAGTAGCGGAACCGCGGAATTCGACAGCAATGTCCACGTCGTCATCGCCGGGTTGACCAACACGTACTCCCAGTACGTGACCACCTTCGAGGAGTACGCCATCCAGCGATACGAGGTCCCCTCCGACAAGACCAAATCCAAACTCTCCCTCTCTCTGCGACTATTCAAGGAGCGACTAACAGGCACCGGATGTTCGCCTGCAGGGAGCCTCCACGCTCTACGGCCCCCACACCCTCAGCGGGTACATCCAGGAGTTCAAGAAGCTCGCGACGGCCCTCATCAGCGGCGAGACAGTGGAAGCGGGCCCGCTGCCACCGGACCTTCTGAAGAAGCAGATCAGCCTGCTCCCGCCGGTGGTCATGGATTCCACCCCCTTCGGCGTTAAGTTCGGCGACATCAGCGTTGACGTTCCGGTCAACGCCACCGTGCGGAAGGGCGAGACGGTCTCCGCCACCTTCTGGTCCGCCTGCCCCAGGAACGACCTGATGACGGAGGGCACCTTCGCCCTCGTGGAGAGGTCCACCGGCGGCGTTGACTCATGGGTCCCCGCCTATGACGACGACGACTTCTGCCTCCGGTTCAGGTGGTCGCGGCCCTCCTCGCTCAGCTCCCACAGCCACGCCACCATCGAATGGACGGCCCCCGCCGCCGCGGTCCCCGGTGTCTACAGGCTGCGCCACTTCGGCGCCGCCAAGAGCCTCTTCGGCTCCGTCCGCCATTACACCGGCGCATCCCGCTCGTTTACGGTGCTCTGACCCAGCCGCCGCCGGGCCCTCCTCATGTTGCCTGGTGCTGGTTATAAACTCTTTTCTCGTCCGTGTCGGAGAGTACCTGGATGCTATTAATTATATCGATCATTCACAAGTAATTATATGATAATATACCTTAATTGGTTACAATCAGTGGATGCAGATAGTCTAAAATTTATCGAATATTGTTTGGCGGTATAATGACCGCGTTAATGGAACCTGAATTAGTTGAGATTAACGAAGAAGGCCGATTCCGCCACGATCTGTCAAGATCTGGATCCGGACCCATCAGATCCAAATGGATTCGGCAAGAGGGCTGCTGGGCAAATGGACTCCTGCGATTGGCGTGAATCTCGCCCTTTTAAAAATAATGCTTCGCGATGATCTAATGTTCACGATGAGACCAACAAGTACGTAAACGGCCGACGGGCGAGTGACCCAAATGGACGGCCTTGATTTCGGGACGCGGTGCTAATGTCGTTTTCGCGTAGCGTCCCGCGGGAACGTCGACTCGGCTGGGCCCCACCCTTTCGACCCCCTCCCCATCTGTGTTCCTTCACAGCGAAGGAGCGATCCCCCTTCTCCCCGGTCATATATATTGGTGTTCTCTGCCTCATCCCCCAAGGAGGATCTCCCTCGTCTCGATTTCTATGCCATGGAGCAGCCTCTGCTGTCTTCGCGTATGATTTTTCTTCATACTCGTCTCCCACTGCCGCCTGCGGGCTCCCATTTTTGATCGGAATTCTCTTCGTTTCTCAGTGGAAGACGAGGAGAAATGGCAGTCCTACCAGTACGTTGGGAGGACGGTCTCGGTGCACCTCCCGCCGGTGTCAGGGGCGGACATCAGCGCCGAGGAGATCAGGTCAGCGCCGTCGTTCTCCGAGTCATACTACCCCCCTTCCATTCACGCCGCCCTGGTCAGCTCGCCGCCCCAGTCGGATCACGGCCACGGTATGATAATTTTTCTTCTCTGTTTTTCAAATCCCTATTGCGTTCTATAATTCAGGTAAATTGGAATATTTGTTCTGTGTTCTGGTATTCAATCCGTCGACTTGTTACGAACATCGACTTGAAGTTATATGGTTTTCTTTGCGGATATCAGATTGCCGGAACAGTAAGAGGCCTGGGTCAACATCTTACATTCGCGACGGTTCTTTGAAGATCCTGTCGGCGGATTGTTGTTCTAATTACTTATCTGGGTCGAGTTAAGTGATCCATAGCTTCCGACATGGTTTATAGGAATCATCTATGCATGTTTGGAAGCCGTGGCGGTCAATGGTGGTTAATTAAACGAGGCATTGCTTCATAGAAGTAACACGGCCAGCTAATTTATTCTGCTGATCACCTCTTGTTTCCTTTTTCCATTTAAATATCCTGTATTTTCCGATAAATGGGCATTCCTCTCACCTGTTTGTCTCCTATACTGATCGAAAGTTCCGTTCCCCATTTCTGTTTTTTTTTTTTTTGGGAGCGTCATATTAAAACTCTTTTCAGAATAAAGGTCCTCTTGCACTCACTTTCCCGTTTGAGATGCCTATTTCCTAATTACTCTTTTGAGGTGATAATTTCCGTCTTATATACTAAATAATTTTATGACCGGTCATCAGCCATATAATTTCCTTTTTAAATCCTTCTTCTTGGACTACAGTTCCATTCCTATTTTCTTATGTTCCATCGTTTTTCTTGGACATTCGAGGTTAATGTTTCTTGTCTGCTGGTCCCTGATAACATAAGCTGAAGCCTTCCTCCTGTTGCGCCATTAGTTTCCAATGAATCTCGGAACCATTACGTTAAATTGCTATAGAATTATAACTTCAACCATATATTTACAGTGATGGGTTGAAAGTTAGCAACCGATGGATATAGTCGCTCTTCTAGTGGCCATTCAGCAAGCCACTTGATTTGTCCATCCTGCCTCTTAACTGTGCCTGCCCTTCTAATTCCCCGTGTTCGACATATGAATTCAATATTTTATCATGTAATAAATGTCAACTTACATATGATCATTCGGCAGATCATGCGCTCGTCCTCCATGAAGGCTATGGCGGAGACATCTCTGGAAATGGGGGAAATGAACTAGGAAGGTGAGCACCACGTCGTATATAGAATTCACCGCAACTGAATTGTTGAAGTCAACGACACCCAACAGCAAATAAAATATGCTCTGTGCCGTAGTGCTTGCTTCTCCTTGAGCTTGCTCTTCCTCTTTGATTATTCCTTCTCCAACTTATTACTGAATATTCTCTCTCTCTCTCTCTCTATCAATATGTTATCCCAAAGGCCAATACTGGATGAGGTTGAAGCGCGACACCTACTCATTGACCATGTAGGGCACCATTGGTGTTGGGGGAGTCAGCCTGCCCGAACTTGGAAGATCAGCGCGATGGAGGACTGTAATGTATACGTTGGGACCCTAGAAACCTTTATAGAGGAAAGGGAGGCCATGAGAGAGATTGAGCCCTACCAGGGCGGCAAATTTGATGGGAGGGATCGCGGGCCTGAACTGGGAATATGGGAGCTGGACTTGAGGGCGGAGTTTCCTCTTCTGTATGTACCGCAAAAGGAAACCAAGATCAAGATTCCTCATTCTGAAGTCGTGGAGAAATGCTCTGGTATGTATCCACCTCTAGTTATTTAAATGAGAGCATAATAGTACTATTGCTATACAGAGTCATCCTGAATTTTATCATGTTCCATAGAAAATATATCCTGTCATCACCTTTCTCGTTGTTATCAATCAAATTAGCATGGTTTCTGGTCACATTATGAAGCCATGCACCACAAACCCGACTGAGGATGAGCGAAGCAGCCCAACCTCTAGCCATTAAATCGAGCTGTTTTTTAAATATGACAACTTCAAAATCCTTAATAGAGTGTGAAAACATTGCTACAGCTGCTGAAGTTTAGGACTTTTGGACCAAATTCGCCATCTGTGAAGCGTGTTTCTTCTCTGAGAACTTTTATTTTCCCACATATCACTGTAGGAATTATGGATATGGCTCAGAATTTTTCATAGTAGGATCTTCTTGGGCGTCCTTTTTAATTTCCTTGAAAAAATGCAGGATGTGAAGGGCGAGGGCAGGTCGCTTGTGGAACCTGCAACAAAAGCCAGGAACCTGGGTCATACAAGAGAAACCAGATGTTCCAGTGCCTTCCATGCTATGGAAGGGGCCTGATTGCTCACAAAGACGGTTCCGACACACTGTGAGTCGGTCGATTTCAACATCCTCTTGGTCAAAGGGGCATCCTGTAGTGTAATTTCTGTCACATGTCCTCACCCGTCTCGGTTCTTTGCAGATGCACTAATTGCTCTGGCAAAGGCTCGATTCCATGTGCAACATGCGGATCGCGTGGTTTAATAGAATGCCAGACGTGCCAGGGTCGGGGCTCACTCCTAGCACGAACGATTGCTCTTGTTAGATGGTAAGGTTTAGTGAAGGGGACGGCATGGGCCTATTGGGCCCAAATCCTAATGACTCTAACATTTCCATTAACATGCTAGCATCTCTGGTAAATAAATAAATATATATATACACACACACACCGTATGACTCTCAGGTTCTTGAGAAAATTAAAGATTTTCGATGCAGCTAACCTTTTGAGTTATCTTTATTTACTTGGGCCATGCCCCGATCTTCTTTTAAGCTCATATGAAGGAGTAAAGTCTGATAGTTCCACAACATAGGCGGTGAGGAATAATTGATGCCTAGCATGTTGGTTTTATTGATATTTCTGGTGTGTCGATTGTATTCCCAGGAGGACGCTTTCAACCCGAAAGGTCAGCGCGGCCAGCGGCGCCGCCTCGGTGCCGGAGGAGGTGTTCCACCGGGCGCAGGGTGTCCAGCTGTGCAACACGCAGGCTCATCAGTGCAGCCCCGCCTACTTCCCCGACTCCTACTCCCTAAACAAGTTCTCATCGGAGGTGGTCGCAGGCCGGTGTCCGGTGCCGCCAGCGGCAAGGATTATCTGCGAGAGGCATGTGGTTTCCGTAATCCCCGTCACCCGTGTCACCATGGCCCATCGCCGCCAGGCCTTCAGCTTCTACGTGGTCGGGCTAAGCAGGGAGGTGTTCGTGAGGGACTACCCTTCCAGGTTCTGTTGGGGTCTCTGCTGTTGCCTGGAGTGGCTGAAGATGTAGTCGGATTTCTTTCATCTCCTAGCCGCTGAAGCCCATACTTGAAACAGACCTCTGCCTGATGCATACCCGTGATAAATGATGAATAATCTTATTGTAAATGAGACCCAACGCTCTCTGTGAGAGATGGTCCTCTTGTGGGCTGGTTCTCATAGAAAAGAGTTGGCCATCCGTGAGAAACGGTCCAACGGTTCATCCTTAGAGGCCTTTGAGATTCATATAAAAAGGAAACCTCCTAGCAACTTTGTAATCTATCAAATCAATAAATTATATCTTCTCTGTTCTGTCTCTCTATCTTCATCATCTCTTCTCTCTTTTTTATTTACATGATCTCTGTGTGTTTCCATGTTCAACAAGATATTGATCCATGGCAGCGCCTCCAAATGTGATGCCAAGTAGTTATTTCATGCCTCATATCATCGATGATAGAGCCTCTCATCCTATTGGTAGTTGGTCATCACGCATCTAACGATGTCCAAGAAGGTTGGGGCAGAGCTTTTGTTTCTCACTCTAAATCAAGGATTCTACGATTGTGCGCCAAGCTATATATCTTTTAGGTCACGAGATGATAGACATCCGCCCTAGAAGATAAACTTATTACAACTAATCAATCAGTGGACGATCGTGATCTTGTTATGGTAACTCTGGCAAGATTAAAACCAATAGACTATTAACTATAATATTAACAGTTGAATAAGTCAATCATTCTAGATGGTCTTTGTATATCTCATTGTGCATGAGACAATAATGACATGACAACACTCTTTCTTGAGTATTCTTCCATAAGCATTGTCATTATGAGTCATAATGGGAGCATACATCAAGATCATTAATGAGTGTCAATGATATTTTTGTTATGAATTCATATGTAAGGAGTGCTGATATTTTCACTAATGAGTGATCGTGATCACCAATCTGCATTGATGTTGTTTGTGTTATGAGTTCATATGTAAGGGATGTGGAAGTTTCTCTAGAACAACATTAAGTGATGAGTTTACATTTAGTGATTTGAGTAGTATTTGCTACATGATAATTAAAATGCAAATTCATCATAATTGATATATTCTTTCATATATCAGTTTAGAAAGTCAAGATAAGTAATTATAAATCTCTCCACAAAAACATTACTATCTCACCAACAAATGCAATTGTGAGTCAACTTATGCTTGACTTGCACTTAAAATATTAGATTATAATAAAATGCATCACATACTATATCAAAAGAGGTATCAAATATGATTTACTACTTCAATTCTCCTCTAGTCTTCAACTTAGTGAGTTTAATAAAGTAGATTAGGCTGAGCTTACCAGTGATCAACAGTGTATTAGTAGTTAACTTACCTTCCTTTGGTGCAACCTCATTTCATTTGAGTTATAAAAAACAAGTACAATGGCCTGATTTAGCACTGCAATAAGAGTACAAAATCATTAGAAAAGCTACTCATTATTAGTTTTGAACATGTTTTTCACTTTTGCATGAGTTTGAATTTCCATCTTCATCACCGTTGAATATCTAGTTTGATAACATTAAGATCATTCTGTTGTTGTGAGTCTGGTCTTTCATACACAAAATAAAGTACATCAAAATTGAGCTTAATTTGTTAGTAAATGACAAAAAAGTAATTAATATTATCCTTCATCTCTACAAAAGACCAACTAATATATATTATCACGAAAATGAAATTATTCTTGAAGCATTATTTTATATGCCTTAGAAATAAGCTCGATGTGATAGATCAGCGTGACTTGAGAGGGTGAGAAAATAAAACCTTATGCCCTTCGTGAGAAACGGTCCTCTCGTGGGTCAGTTTCTCATGGGCCCACGAGAGACAACAAAATAGCTCCTTGTGGACCATGTCTCATGAAAATGAGCGGCACATTTGAGGGCACACGTTTCATCTTTGGAGGCCTGTGAGACATAGAAAGAGATAACTTTTTCCATTCATCAAATCAAGAAATTCCTCTTCTCTCTCTCTCTCTCTCTCTCTCTTCTATCCTGATCTTTTCGTGTTAAGATTTACAATTCCATCCCTTGCATGATCAAAGGCACTGATAGAGAAGAGAGAGGGAGAGAGAGGGGGAGAGAGATGATTTAATATGCGGTGTCGTTTTCTTTCTTATTGGGGTATTTCTGTCGTCCCTCAGTGGTACGGCGACCCGTACGGGCGACTCGTACTGAAGTCTGCGGTCAACGAACGCGTTGGAAAAGATCGGGCGGCCTAAATGCCGCCGACAATGAAACCGTGAATGTTAATGACAGCTGGAGGGTTCGATCGGAGCCCGCGGGATCAGACGGCGGAGACTTGCTGCGACTTGGGATCGAGGATAAACCGCGGGCGATAGAACGATGTAGGAGGATCTTGATCACACCACCTTCACCTCTTGGTGTGGTACCGTCTAAAACAAGTATATATATATACAGAGAGAGAGAGAGAGAGAGAGCGTAGAAGACGGCATCCCCGTCACTAGGAGAGAAGGGGAAATTCTTCCTGCCTAGGAGTAACTAAGAATTCTGAGGAGAGAAAGAGGAGGGGCGGGAAAGGAGAGAAAGACCAGGAGGTGGTTGGCGACCGTCGTCGTCCCGTGCGCGTCTCCCTTTCTCTCGACTCCTTTCCCGCTTTCCTCTCTTGGGTTCTCCTCCCGTTTGCCTTCTCTGTCATATTTTTCTTCGTGGCCACGAACTGCGGGGACTATGTCGTCGACGGTGCCGGCCGGGGCGAGCCCCACGACGGCGGCGGTGGCGGCGGGCGGGGCAGCGAACTTCATCACCGCGAGACGGCGAATTGCGGAGTCGATCCCAGACATGGAGAGGCCGTCGTCGCCGGGTTACCCCTCCGAGGAGGAGGACGACGGCGTGTGCGATGGTAGTGGGGTCGGCATTAGCGGGATCCATCACCACCACAGGGCGAAAACCGGGGGAAAGCGCCCATGGAGGTGGAGAAGGAGCGTCGAGGTGCTCCTCGCGGCCGTCGTATCAGCTGTTTGCCTCGCGACGGTTTTCCTCGCAGCCCACAGGTTGAAGGTCGCCGGAGCCGAGGAAGACGGCGGCAGCCGGGACGGTTCGTTCAACGGGAACAGCGTGATCCACGGCGGGGCCTCTGATCAGAACAATGTGGTGGAGGAGTTGACCGTGGTGCACCTTCGTGGCGACGTCTCCAGGGCCACCGTGGTGAGTCATCCATGACGCTATCCTACCCCCCACCCGTCGCAGCGCCATTTTCTGATCGCCGTTTCCTTCAACTTCACTTCTCTCTTCCCTCTGGTCTGCTGGTGTTCATCAGGTCTCGGTCTTCTCGTTTCCTAACCTGGGGCACCTCCATGTAGTGCGTACACAATGGATCTCCGGCAACAATAACCCAGAAAACAATTACAGAATATTTTGCTGTTCTCGATCTCTTTTTGACCTCAACCCTCCCTAGTTTTGTTTATTTCCTCGTCTGTAGTCATCAAGTTGTTCAATTATGATCTGTGTTTCTCAGTAGCCCTCTATATTTCTACGAGTTGGACAGCGAATCTCTCTCTCCTCCACAAAACTAGGAATCCATTTTCTGAAAGACTCTGGCTTTCGTGCTTTGGTGAGTCGTCCGAGATCTTTTCGGTTCTCTTGAAGTTGTGGTTCTACGAAATCCGAATTGACTATCCCTTCGTCCTCTTGCCAATAGATGTTGACCTAGTTCATTCCTTCGGGACCGCGTTCCCATAATTGACTTTGCGTCTCTGCCTGTCCGTCTACCTTTCTGTCTGTCTTCCTCTAGAATGATCTTCTAACATTATGGGTGGGTGGGATACCCTTTACCGCTGACAAATACCTGACCGGCGTTCGTGATGCGCTGGGTGGCAGCTGGAGGAGCTCTGGAGGAAACCGGAGACCGGCGGCTACTTACAGTGCATCAGGCGTCCGCGGGACCGCTACAGTAAGTCAACGCGTCCTTCTTCCGACCAACCTGTTTCTTCTTCGTCTCCGGAGACGTGGTTTTGAATCCCTTGACTTTGTTTTCAGGGGCGGCCCCGTCGGACGGCTACGTTCTCGTCCACGCCAACGGCGGGCTGAACCAGATGAGGATGGGGGTACGTTGTCTGCACCCGTCGAAATATCTCCACTCCGCGTAGTTTCTTATCTCTCCTGCCAATTGTTGGAATTGAAGATTTCGGACATGGTCGCCGTGGCGAAGATGATGAACGCCGCCTTGGTCCTCCCTTCCCTCGACCACACCTCCTTCTGGAGCGACCCTAGGTTTGACCTCTCTCTCTCTCTCTCTCTCTCTCTCTCGCACCCGTTCTCGCTCGTCAGCAACCCAACCTGTTTCATGCTGCAGCGGCTTCAAGGATATATTCGACTGGAATCACTTCGTGAGAACTTTGGAGGACGACGTCGAGATTGTGGAGTCCATACCCCCGCAGTACAAAGCGTTAAAGGCCATAGATAAGGCCCCCGTCTCCTGGTCGAAGGTCAGTAATCTCTCTCTCTCTCTCTCTCTCTCTCTCTCTCTCTCTCTCTCTCTCTCTCTCTCTCTCTCTCTCTCTCCATCCCCTCCCTCCCTCTCTCTCTCTGTCTCTCGCTCTCCTCCCTCCCTCTCCCTCTCTCTCTCTCTCTCTCTCTCTCTCCCTCTCCCTCTCCCTCTCCTCTCCCTCTCCCTCTCCCTCTCCCTCTCCTCTCCCTCTCCCTCTCCCTCTCCCTCTCTCTCTCCCTCTCTCTCTCTCTCCCTCTCCCTCTCCCTCTCCCTCTCCCTCTCCCTCTCCCTCTCCTCCCTCTCCCTCTCCCTCTCTCTCTCCCTCTCTCTCTCTCTCTCCCTCTCTCTCTCTCTCTCTCTCTCTCTCTCTCTCTCTCTCTCTCTCTCTCTCTCTCTCTCTCTCTCTCTCTCTCTCTCTCTCTCTCTCTCCTCTCCCTCTCCCTCTCCCTCTCCTCTCTCTCTCTCCTCTCCCTCTCCCTCTCCCTCTCCCTCTCCCTCTCCCTCTCTCTCCTCCCTCTCTCTCTCTCTCTCTCTCTCTCTCTCTCTCTCTCCCTCTCTCTCTCTCCCCTCCCTCTCTCTCTCTCCCTCTCTCTCTCTCTCCCTCTCTCTCTCTCCCTCTCTCTCTCTCTCCTCTCCCTCTCTCTCTCTCCCTCTCTCTCCTCTCTCTCCTCTCTCTCTCTCTCTCTCTCTCTCTCCCTCTCTCTCTCTCTCCCTCTCCCTCTCTCTCTCTCCCTCTCTCTCCCTCTCCCTCTCCTCTCTCTCTCCCTCTCTCTCTCTCCCTCTCTCTCTCTCTCTCCCTCTCTCTCTCCCTCTCTCTCTCTCTCTCTCTCTCTCTCTCTCTCTCTCTCTCTCTACTGTATCTCTGTGCTTTTAGTCTTCTTGGTTTTAATGAGGCGGCTTTACCAGAGTAGCTATTACAAACAAGAGATGCGCAAGCTGCTGAAACGGCACAAGGTGATCAATATTACTCACACTGACTCCCGGCTGGCCAACAACGGCATCCCGCCGTCGCTGCAGAGGCTCCGGTGCCGCGCCAACTACAGGGCGCTCCGCTACACCCCGGAGATCGAGGAGATGGCGGAGACTCTCATCGCCCGGCTGAGGACCAAGGGCCAGCCCTACGTCGCCCTCCACCTCAGGTCAGCCTCTATCATCCACAGCCACCACAACGGCCTCCACAAGCGGCGGTGTGAAAGGGGAAAAGGATTCTGACGGCCGCTGCGGCGGCGTATCTGCAGGTACGAGAAGGACATGCTCTCCTTCACCGGCTGCAACCACAGCCTCTCCGCAGAGGAGTCGACGGAGCTCGAGGCCATGCGGTGGGGCACGGCGCACTGGAGGGACAAGGTGATCAACGGCACGGAGGTCCGCCTCCGGGGAGGGTGCCCGATGACCCCCCGAGAGGCGGCAATTTTCCTCAAGGCCATGGGGTACCCCTCGGAGACCACCATCTACATCGTCGCCGGCGAGATATACGGCGGCGCCGCCATGGAGGCCTTCCTTGTGGAGTACCCCAACGTGCACACCCACTCCAGCCTGGCCACGGCGGAGGAGATGGAGGTCCTCGAGCCGTACCAGAACCGGCTCGCCGCCGTGGACTACGTGGTGGCGCTGGAGAGTGACGTCTTCGTCTACACCTACGACGGCAACATGGCCAAGGCGGTGCAGGGCCACCGCAAGTTCGAAGGCTTCCGCCTTACTCTCAATCCGGACAGGTAGGCAACTCCCTTTGCTACCCCCCGCCGCAACATTTAGATCGACCCTGAGCATCTCCACCGCGCTGCCCGCAGGCAAGCATTCGTCAACCTCGTCGACAGGATGGACGCCGGCGAGCTAACATGGGAACAGTTCGCCGATAAGGTGAGGCGCCGTCACGCAGACCGGTGGGGCGGGCCCAGCGAGAGGCTCGCCGGTGAGGAACTCCAACTGGAGCCCAAGCAGGAGGAGAATTTCTACGCCAATCCTTTCCCTGGCTGCCTCTGCCGCGTCAACGGTGACTCCGGCAGCAGCAGAAGAGAAGTCGCCGCCGTCAGGAAGAGCCGGAAGTCCATCCGCCGGTGAAGGCCGAAGGATTTATTCTTGGGGGATCACCGCACCCCTCCTTCGCTTCTCTGCTTCCCTCTCCGCAGCCTCGCTCCGTGAAATGCGGTTGCTCGCCCGCCCGAGACAACTGCCCGAGTTTGAAGAGATCGATCATGCAGGCGGCGCAGTTTTGACCAGCACCAACTCTATATTCCTGTGATTCACCAGGGTCTCCGAGAGAGAGAGAGAGAGGAAAAGAGAGGAGAGAGAGGGAGAGTTGGAACACAGAGGAGGAAGAAGAGGATGGAAATATTTTCTCATTTGTGGTAGAATTTGAGCTTCATCAGGGCCTTCGCCTCTCAGACCGCCACTGGCAATTAATCTGGAGCGGTACGTTTTCGCGTATACACCGCTCTTCAGCGAACGTTGTCGACTGCGCGCACTATCTAAAAACTGCGGAAATCTCGTGCTCGTTTAAAAAATTTGGGAGGGCCGGTGGTCTGATCGAACGTTGTGGAATTTTCACTCTCTGTCAAAAGTCAACTGATGAATATCATGTAAAGATATGAATACATAACGAGAAGAAGGCACCAGTAGGGGCTTTGGGAGGAGGGTCGAAGCCTGGCCCGTGTGAGGATCCAACCCTTCGTGGCGTATGGGGACGCCCAAAATCAGTTCCAGGGCAGGTGAAGGTGGCGGGAACTAAAAAACCTGCGCATCCGGGGAATCGAACCCCGGTCAGTACCGTGGGAGGGTACTATGATACCACTACACCAGATGCGCTTATTGCATGTTATCATTTAGATATTATTTTCTCCCGATTACAAAGCGAAAAAAACACCACAAGAAAAAAAATAAGCCAGCTTCAGCTGTGATGAATTGCCTGCGAGTGAGAACGAACGCGGGAATCCTCGATGCATCACCAGTAATCGCCGCAAGAACACTCCCCATCTCTGAAGTGATGGAAGCGGCTCACGTCCCTGACGATGATCTCCCGGGAGGCGATCTTTGATATGAACGTCAGCGCCGCATGGCAGTCGCCGCAGACCCGCAGGTTCTTCATGATCCTTATCCCGGCGCCGGGCGGGGTGCTCAGGATCGCGAAGGCCACAGCGATCTTCTCGCTGTGGTATGCCAGGCTCTCTTCTTTCTCTTCTTCTTCCATGTCGTGGAGGACCATGGTGGTGTCGGGAACGTAGCCACGCTGCTTCATCTTGGTCGCCAGCTCGCTCAAGAACCCATCGATCTCCCTCCACCTCTGGTGCGATCGGTCCCCAGTGGAGAACTGGTGGACCTTGTTCTTCAGCTCGAGCCAGCTTATCCCCGGCTCCTTCTTCACCCTCATCCCCCTCATGGCTTCCCTCACCTCGGAGACGTCCTTCCACCGTTCCGCCGTGGCGTGGATGTTGGATAGGAGTACGTAGGAAGCCGAGTCGAGGGGGTCCAGCCGCAGAAGCTCCTTCGCCACCCGCTTCGCCATCTCCGTCTCCCTGTGGATCTTGCAGGCGGACAGGAGCGTCTTCCATATGACGGCGTCGGCTTCGACGGGCATGAATTTGATCAGACCTTCCGCCTCCCCCAAGGCCCCCGCCCTCCCGAGCAGATCCACCATGCAGGTGTAGTGCTCCAGCCGAGGCTGGAGGCCGTAATCGGAGGTCATGAGGTTGAAGACGGCCCTTCCTTCCTCCTTCAACCCGGTGTGGCTGCAGGCGTATAGCACGGCTAAGAAGGTCACCTCGTTCGGCTCCATTCCTTCCATCGTCATTCTCTCGAACATCTCGATGGCTCTCCGTCCGTGCCCGTGGAATCCATAGGCGGCGATCATGGCACTCCACAAGACGTCGTCTGAAGCACCCGACTCACAGAAGACGGCGGCGGCGTCGCTCAGGCTGCCGCACTTGGAGTACATGCTCACCAGAGAGCTCTGGACGGCGACTTCAGAGTTGACCCCGGCCTTGACGGCCTGGGCGTGGACTTGCCGGCCCTGTCCGAGTGTCGCCAGCTCGGAGCAGGAGCTGACAGCGCTGACAAAGGTGATCTTGTCCGGTTCCACCCCCCAGGACTTCATCAGGGAGAAGTGGCGGAGGGCTCCCTCCGCGTCTCCGTTCTGCGCCCTGCCGGCGACGATGGTGTTGCAGGCGACGACGTTGAGGAAGGGGAGGCTCTGTAGCGCCATCTCCCCCTCCTCCGGGAAACCGCACTTCATGTACATGTGAGCCAGAGAGCTCCCCACGCAGAGATCCGATTGGAAGCCGGACTTGGCGACGAGAGAGTGGATCTGGCGGCCGAAGAGGGCGGATTTAACGCCGGCGCATCCTCTGAGAATGCTTCCCAGAGTGAACTCGTCGGCCCTCAGCTGCTGGCGGTGCATCTGGGAGAACAAATCCAGGCCTTCCTCGTTGAGTCCAAACTCCGTGAGGCCGGCCACCATGGCGTTCCAGGTAGCAACGTTCCTCTCATGCATTTCGTCGAACACCCGGCGGGCCGACTGCAGGTCGCCGTTCTGGATGAACCCGCCGATGAGGATGTTGGAGGACATGACGTTCCTCCTTGGCATGAAGGCGAACACCTTAACGGCCTCCTGCAGAAGTCCGATCTTGGAGTAGAGATTGAGGAGGTGATTGGAGATGAACCGGTCGCCGGAGGCGCCGGCGGTGAGCACGATGGCGTGCACCTGCTTGGCACCTCGCAGGGACGTCCTGCGCAGGCACGTTTGCAGGATGTGGATGAAGAGGGAAGGGTCCGCCCATATCTCTGCTCGGAAGGCACTGAAGGCCTGCCCCAGGTGCCCGCCTGAACACAGCTTGACGAACTCGTCCTTGGCTGATCGCCGGCGACAGGAAGACGATGATGAGGACGCCGAGGAGGTCGCCGGAAAGAGGGCGGACCGGGGGCCGGGAAGCAGAAGAGAACGCGAGTCGCCCATGCGAGCCGGACGGGTTAATTAATCAAGGAGCCTTGATGAATATACAATGTTGTTTTTTATTACAAGCACTAATAGAAGTGTTGTAAGCAAGCACCACCTTGAGCCTTGCTTTAGGTCGGAGCCTCATAGATCTGCAAATACGTCGTAGGTTGTGGAGTGGAGGACAATGAATCTGAGGGCCGCCACCGCGGCGGCGACGGCCAGGCAGCTGAACCCGACGACGTTCAACCAGTGCCATGCCCGTTGCAGCGCCGAGATCTTGGTCTTCTTCACCGTCAGATACATGTGGTTGGCCAGGACGAAGGTGAGGGGGAAGGTGCTGAGAGCGCCGGTGAGGCTCATGAAGTCCCCCAGGAACGGCAGCAGGGCGGCCACCAGCGTGTTTATGGTCAAGTAGCCTCCTCTCACGGCCACTCTGAACCAGAGCCTGTCGAAAGAGAAGGCGTTGCCTTTGTCCCTCCCGTACTTCGTGTCCAAGAACTCGTACATCGGGCTGGCGAAGATCTGCGTGACGTTCAGAGCAAGGTGCTGAGCTACAGACTAAATTTCGAAAAGCCAGGGAAGAGATTCAAGAACAGAGAGGAGGTACGTGGAGGGCGATGATTGTTTGAAAAAACGCGGCAATGTTGGCCAGCGTCAGGACCCAGACCGGGCCGTTGACGCTGTTGAGGAGATAGCTCGATGTCGAAGACCCGTATGCCCAGTAGCCCATGAAGGCGACGGCGTACAGAGGCAACACGCCGGCAGTGAACTGAAACCACAGCGCCTTTTCCATGTTCCTGATAACAGGAGGCCTCAGGGTGGCCTGCATGTGAAAGAACCAGATGTTTGGTGAAGACGCAGCGAGCACACTATGTACAGATCATAGATGGAGGGGGCTACATGCGGAACCTGTATCTCCGGCAGCATGCCCGTGTTGTAGGCGAAGACGAGGGTGGCGATGGAGCCGATGGTGCCGAAGATCTTATTCGTCTTTGTTCCCGGGATGCTGTAGTCCCGGTCAGGTGCGTTGGTTCCTGCAGCAGAAAGAGGTGCCATTATTCCTCAGTTTCCTCTTTCGTCTACACACAAGTGGGCGCTGGGGAGTGGTAACGGGATACAGTGAGAACAAAAGGGTGTCTTCTTCGGAGGGGGTGGGGCGATCAAATCTGGCCAAATGAAAAAGATGGAGCGGGGATGGTGGTTACCATCTTTAATTGATAGCACGAATGCCGTGATTATATAAATGAGACTGAAGAACGTGGAAAAGCCCAGCCAGATTCCAAGAGCTGACAAATGAGGGACTCCAAAAGCAAACAGAGCACAGACGACACCAGCGATCGCAATGCAGTACGGAAGCTTCAAGGCTCCATCGTCGCGGTAGAGAACATATACTGCCTGCGCCACGAAGAAAGTTTCAGAAGTGGGTCGAGGGCTAAGATAGAAATAATGAACAAGGTAAAGAAGTTGATTGCCACGGAGGTGGCAAAATTATCCTCTGAAGAACACCATTTGATTAGCCCAGACCAACCACAGACATCATCCAAGATATGTTGGCTTAAGTATTACCGTTCCCTAAAGAAAATGCCACCTTAGACATGGGTGACCACCAGCGTAGGGAAGATCATTCGTCCCCAGGTTGAGAAGTCGAGAAGAAGAGAGCTTATACAGCGACCAGAAATGCAAAGTGGTGTAATAAAATGAGAAAGATACATGAAGAGAGCTAACAGTAGATAACATAGAGGGTCAACGGCTCATAAAAAACTTGGAAGGACGTTTGAGGGAATCTCTTTTGGTCAGGAGGTTGAGGAAACAAACCCTAGGTTAGTAACCTTGCTTCCAAAATATTATCCTGAAATCTCGTTCATAAAACACCAGTGGATAAAAAATATGGCGCCGTTACAGCCGGATCGACCAATGAGGGAAAGTCAGACAAGCTGGAAGTGACCAGACTATGCGAATCAACGAAATGAAAGGCCACTCTGATCGACAAAAAAATACCATAAAAAAGAAGAATTTTCGAGTTTACTGCGTAAAAATGAAGATCAATGCATTAAAAGGAAAGAAAATCATGTACGTCTCAAAGACATCACACCAGACCTTTAAAGCTTGTCCAGCCAAGATAATGAATCCAGTGTTGATCATAAAAAGATTTACGTACTGCAGTGCCCACGTAATGGAATACATTTTCTTACCTGCACTCAACACAACAAAATTCTTAAAACACTACAAAATTCTACAAAAACATCAAGATCCAAACAGACAGAAAGGCAATGAATATATATATTAAATGTGTGGTGATGGAGTATTTTTATGTTTCAATATGTCAAGAGCGCCATACATTGAGCTGTAATTGATTTTTACTATGAACAGATAACCAGAGACAGGGGAACAGGCAAACTGAAAATACAGGACAGTGAGACCTCTGGCACCACAACAGGTATATACCGTTGTGGATTGGGTCTAAATCAATCAACTGGTAAATGATTGCCTTGACGATTACGTGTATCAAAGACATCGCGCATAATACTCAAGTAATCAAAATAGCCAGAAACAATTTTTTCCTCGCAGAACCTTGGGAATTTGCACAGGAGCAATTTTTGTTACGGGCGCAGGTGGATGGTCAGAACCTTTTTTGAATAAATATCATAATAAAGGAGAAAGTTTATCCAATTATTTTCACATGTGATGGTATGAAATACGTCTTGGGATTGGAAAGAGAACTTACCATAGATGTGGCCAGCCAAGTCTCTGTACCTGATATGCCTCTTTCCTCCAACCTCGTGGAGGCGAGCGATAAGAGTGTTTGCATACAGGGAAATAGCCGCTGCTAAAATTAGACCCACCGTGCCGCCAGCCCAACCTAAAGGAACCATGACTGATCCAGAATATCCCAACACATAGGCGCTATTCACACCAGTGGTGAGCACAAACCCTACCTGATACCAAGGATCTGCAAAATCCATAGAGCACGCGCCAGATTAGATAGTATTGAAGTAGATGTCAGGAGATATTCTATGTAGTGATTGTCCCTTGCAAAGTGTCGGATCTAAATGTATAAACTAATTTATTTATTTATGTGTGTGTGCCTCATATGTAGAACAATCATGAAGTAAAAACAGTATTAATACAAAAAATTGTATTTAAAAAACCATGAAGTGATTCAAATACTTCGGCAATTAAAGTTGATTTTCAATGGGTGCTCCTTACGGCATAAATCAATCATACAACTTACGATACCAAGTAGAAATCGCAACAGATTACAGGTGTTCGTGATTCTATGCCAGGCGTAGAATTACAGGTGTACTGCATAAACAAGCTTACCATCCATGAGGAACAAAAGCATGATTGAGCCGACTAAAGGCGCAGTGGATACAGATGTCGACAGACGGTAAATGAAACGAGCAGGTGTACGGATGATGAAAGAAGAGCGATGGACAGTGAGGGATCTACGTTCAAATCGGTGGCCACTGAAAGCTTGTAAATTCGAAAATCCTGAGCAAGTAACCGAGATTCGAAAACTCGAGACATCGTGAGGAAAATACACGACAGTGGATTGATTTCCGAAAACGATATTTTCCAATAAGGATCTCTCAGGTGTCTGAGAGATTTTGAGACGAAAATGGTACAGGAACATCAATATCGATAAAAAGGCATGTCGTCATTTCACCGACCCGCCAGAAGAATCGTAACAATAATCGCGACAATAACGACGGAAACACTAATTCTTCGTCGTACGCAAACAGAAAGCAGGACAGGCGCGTCGAAGAAGGAGCAAAGTCGAATCCTCACCGTGGCTAATCTTGTGAGCGGTGTCCTGGGACACCACCAATCCTTCGCCACCGTCGTCCCCCTTCTTCTCCACATCCCCGACGTCCCCCATCGTCACCGAACCGCCGCTCGCTGAATCCACCAGCAGCGGCTGGATGTCCGACTCCTCCTGGCTATCAGTGAAGCCGGCAGCGGCGGAGGAAGGATCCCGGCCCCGAACGTCTTCCTCCAGTCTGTTGTTACCCATAGTTCAGCTCTCACCGAACTTTTATCAAAACCGAGCCCCAGCGCCCCAATCGGAACGTGCATCCGTCAGATCCGGAGAATCAACGGAATCTTTTGGAATAGACGACTCGACCATCCCACCACCCATTTGGCAGCCCTCCTGCGCCGACGACCGGACGGCGGAGGCAACGGGACCGCCTCCGCCTGTTCTGACTTTTTGGAGCGATACCCACAGAAAGTTGTTTAATGACAAATCCCCCCTTAAATACTCTCATTTTAAAAGTGATTACAGGTTGGTAAGATAATCTACTCTGGAAAAGGTCAATGCTCTTCTCGATTGACGTGCCCTCCCGTGAAAAACCCACACTCGGACGTCACTTATTGTCGACTTTAGTGGCCAATGAGATGCTAGGTAGTCTTTGACTTGAATCTCCATAAATGCGTGTCAGATCCTCAGTGATGGGCCCCACCGATATGTTCGCCTTCCTTTGCAATCTCTGCCATCTTTCATATGCATATATATATAAACATGATACTCATGCGTGCATTATTTTCGGCATGGGAGGTTCACCAGCCAACAGCTGTCGCGTGGCAGTTCCACCTAGTATCCGGGAGTGAGGAATGCCGACGTGTACCGCCGCGTGGTACGTCTCGAGTAGCTTCTTAATATCGTTTCTTCGGCTTGTTTTCTTCATCATTCGCCGTTATCTAGTTATTTGTTTGCTTTATTGTTCGATGGAAAGTATATATTTTAAAACGATAGATGCCGGTGATAGTTTGTGAGCTGAGACCGCAGAATCTATAGAGAGCGAGAGAGAAAGACGGCAGGTCGTCGTCAGGGTGACGATGCCAGAGGTCGCCTTCGTGGGTCCATCTTGATGACTATCTGATCAAATGGTAATTTTTTCTTCATTGACCGAAATTCGGTAAGTATTCGAATATATTTTTTTTTCATCATATCTACGAGCTTGTTTGTTTTAGTAATATTAAAAATATAATTTTAAGCGATATATGTCGGTGATTATTTGTGAGCAAAAACAGTAAACTTGAGAGAGAGAGAGAGGGAGAGAGAGAGAGAGTGGGGGGGGGGGGGGGGGCGTAGGCCGTCAATGGAGTGACGATGCAGGAGGCCGACTTCGTGCCTCCATCTTGATGACCTTAGATTAGATAAAATGGTAATCTTTTCATCCTCGACCGAGATCAGATTATTATTCGAAATATAATTTTTTTAATCATAATTACAAGCTCGTTTCATTTATTTATTTTTTATTATTATTATTTAACGATAGATGTCGACGACAATTTGTGAGCTGAAACCGTAAACGCAAGAGAGAGAGGAGGGATGCCGTCAATTGGGCGACGATGCCGGTGATAGACTTCGTGCCGCCAACATCTTGACGACCTCAGATCAGATAAAATGGCAATTTTTTCCTCATTCACTGATATCAAATAATTATTCGAATAAAAATATTGATCATAATTAAAAGCTTGTCTATTTAAAATAAATGTCAGCCTATTAGAGAGGGGGTGGGCCTCTTTTGAGTATTGACCGTGTGGAGAAGTTGGGAGACTGACCGTGTCGAAGAGGTCAACCCGGATGGTATAGTCTTGCTTATTGTCTCGGGATCTGACAAAGTTCCCTATTCTCTCTATCTCTGTGCCTCCCGTATTCTCTCTCTATCTTTGTACATCTCTTTCTTCACTTTGGACGCGTCCCAACATAATCTCACCCTCAACTTTTTCCGATGCGGACGTCTCACGGGGGAAATATCATTCGTTTTGACTAGCTTCGACGACCTTAAGTCACACGGCCAGGAGTTCCATTAAATGAACGGTAGAGATTGGTTCATCGTGCGCGAGGAAGAGATCGGATAGGAGGGAAGCCTGGAACCACGGACAGTATGTGGTCAACGTTAGACAGCGAGATCTTTCACCCGGACAAGTTCGTCTTCGGGCAGCCGGGAGCAACTAGGCCAGGGGTCACTACACCGAAGGCGCCGAGCTTATCAATTCCGCTCCCGATGTTGTGCGCAAGGAGGCGGAGAACTGCGATTGTCTTCAGGGTAAGTTCCTCGTCCTCCTCTGTTAGAAACTCGCCGGAGAGACGACGGCAGTTAAGACGTCGCCGACGAGATCACCACGGAGTCACAGGAAAAACCCAGCAGGAGGAACAATGAAGACTATCTCTCTCTATGAAAACCTCTTACAGCCCTCATTAAATAAGGGAGCAAAAAGGGGGAAAAGGAATAACCGTAAGCAATAAGCAACCTCTTACTGCCCTCTTACAGCTCTAGGCAGGTGTGCCTAGAGACGTGCAAGGCCTATGCCGTTACGCGAAAAGACGTGCAAGGCTCCCCGTTCACAACATCCTCTGCCTTCGTCCTGATATGGTATTCATCCTCTCTAATCTCCGTTGCAATGTTGTAAGCATGCAGCACCTCGAGCCTTGCTTTAGGTCGGAGCCTTATAGATCCGCAAAGACGTCGTAGGTTGCGGAGTGGAGAACGATGAATCTGATGGCCGCCACCGCGGCGGCGATGGCCAGGCAGCTCAAACCGGCGACGTTCAACCAGTGCCATGCCCGTTGCGGAGCCGAGATCTTGCTCTTCTTCGCCGTCAGATACATGTGGTTGGCCAGGACGAAGGTGAGGGGGAAGGTGCTGAGAGCGCCGGTGAGGCTCATGAAGTCCCCCAGGAACGGCAGCAGGGCGGCCACCAGCGTGTTTATAGCCAGGTAGCCCCCTCTCACGGCCACTCTGAACCAGAGGCTGTGGAAAGAAAAGGCGTGGCTCTTATCCCTCCCGTACCTTGTGTCCAGATACTCGTATATCGGGCTGGCGAAGATCTGCGTACAGTTCGGAGCAAGGTGCTGAGCTGCAGACTAAATTTCCAAAAACCGAGGCGGAGATTGAAGAGGACGGGAGAGGTACGTGGAGGGAGACGATTGTTTGAAGAAATGCGGCGATGTTAGCCAGAGTCAAGACCCAGACCGGGCCGTTGACGCTGTTGAGGAGATAGCTCGATGTCGAAGACCCGTATGGCCAGTAGCCCGTGAAGGCGACGGCGTACAGAGGCAACAAGCCGGCAGTGAACTGAAGCCACAACGCCTTCTCCATGTTCCTGATAACAGGAGGCCTCAGGGTGGCCTGCATGTGAAAGAACCAGATGGTAGGTGAAGACGCAGCGAGCACACTATGTACAGATCATAGATGGAGGGGACTACATGCGGAACCTGTATCTCCGGCAGCATGCCCGTGTTGTAGGCGAAGACGAGGGTGGCGATGGAGCCGATGGTGCCGAAGATCTTGTTCGTCTTTGATCCCGGGATGTCGTAGTCCCGGCCTGGCGCGTTGGTTCCTGCAACAGAAAGAGATGCTGTGGCTGCTGGAATACCAAGGGGACTCTTCCGGGAAGTTGGGGGGGTGGGGGGGTGGATTTGAGGAGTGATCAGATCAGACCAAGAGAAAAACACGAGGGCTGGAATGGTGGTTACCGTCTTTAATTGATAGCACGAGTGCCGCGATTATGTAGATGAGAGTGAAGAACGTGGAAAAGCCCAGCCAGATTCCAAGGGCTGATAAATAAGGGATCCCGAAAGCGAACAGAGCACAGACGACACCAGCGATCACAATGCAGTACGGAAGCTTCAAGGCTCCATCATCGCGATAGAGAACATACAATGCCTGCGCCACGAAGAAAGTTCCCAGAAGTTGGTGGAGGACCAAGATGGAAACAATGAACAAGGTAAAGAAGTCGATTGCCACGGGGCCATTTGGAGATCTGGAGGCGGCACAGTTATCCTCTGATGCTCCGTAGAGGATATTGATTAGCCCAGCCCACCCACAGACATCATCCGAGATATGTTGGCTCTAGTATTACCGTTCCCTAAGAAATTTGATCATATACATGGGCGACCACCAGCATAAGGGAGATCATTCGTTGCTAGGTTAAGAAGTTGAGAAGAAGAGAGCTTATACAGTGACCAGAAATGCAAATAGTCTTTCATCTGAACAGATGGATCGACCAATGAGGGAAAGTCAGACAAACTGGAAGCGGCCAAACTATGCGGATGAACGAACTGAAAGGGCAGGCACTCTGATCGACAAAAAGGTACCACAAAAAAGACGAATGTTTGTGTTTACTGCGTAAAAATGAAGATCAATAGATTAAAAGGAAATTAAATCATGCACGTTTGAAATGAATTACATCAAACCTTTAAAGCTTGTCCAGCCAAGATAATTAATCCAGTGTTGATCATAAAAAGATTTACATACTGCAGTGTCCACGTAATGGAATGCATCCTCTTACCTGCACTCGACACAACCCGGCAAGCAATGATGAAAATTGTTAAAACACTACAAAGTTCTTCAAAAACATCAAGATGCAAAACAGGCAATGGAGATATATATCCAATGTGTGGTGGGGTATTTTCTTTTCAATATGTCGAGAGCGCGATACAGGAAGCTATAATTGATTTTACTACGAACAGATAACCAGAGACAGGGAAACAGGCAAACTAAAAGTGCAGGAACAGTGAGACCCTTGGCACCAGAACAATTATATACCGTTATGGATTGGTCTCAATCAATCAACTGGTAAGTGATTGCCTTGAAGATTATGTATCAACGGCAACGTGCATAGTAATCAAGTAATTATATAGCCAGCAACAATTTTTTCCTTGCAGAACCTTGGGAATTTGCACAGGAGCAATTTTTTGTTTTGGGCGAAGGTGGATGATCAGAACCGTTTTTGAATAATATCATAATAAAGCTGAAAGTTTAATAAATTATGTTCAAATGTGATGGTATGAAATACGTCTTGGGATTGGAAAGAGAACTTACCATAGATGTGGCCAGCCAAGTCTCTGTACCTGATATGCCTCTTTCCCCCAACCTCGTGAAGGCGAGCGATAAGAGTGTTTGCATATAGGGAAATAGCCGCTGCTAAAATTAGACCCACCGTGCCTCCAGCCCAACCTAAAGGGACCATGACTGATCCAGAATATCCCAACACATAGGCGCTATTCACTGTTGTTGTGAGTACAAACCCTACTTGATGCCAGGAATCTACAAAATTCATAGAACACCTGCTAAGTTAAATAGCATTGAAGTAGATTTCAGGAGACAGAAAATACGCCAACAAAAAGAAAACAAGTGAAAGAAACGATTCGACGAGGCTGGTACTAATGTCATATGTAGTGATTGTCCCTTGCTAAGTGTCGGATCTAAGTATATAAATTTATTTATTTATTTAAGCGTTCGCGTTATATGTCGAACAATCGTGTCGTAAAAACAAAAAATTGTATTTAAAAAACCATGAAGTGATTAAAATAGTTTAACAGTTAAAGTATACACGACAATGATGTTCTTGTGGCATTCTTGAGGAAAATACACGTCAGTGGTTGATTTCCGAAGATGATATTTTCCAAGAAGAATCTCTCAGGCTTCACAGAGAATTTGAGACGAAAACCGTACAAGAACATCAATATCGACAACATGGCATGCCATCATTTCACTGACCTATCTGAGGAATCGAGACAAAAATCGAGACTACAGCTAAGGAAACACTAATTCTTCGTCGTATTTACCCGGACAGCAGGACAGGCGCGTCAAAGAAGGAGCAAAGCCGAATTCTCACCGTGGTTAATCTTGTGTCCGGTGTCCTTGGACACCACAAACCCTTCGCCCCCGTCGTTCCCCCTCTTCTCCGCATCTCCGACGTCCCCAATCGTCACCGAACTGCCTCTCTCTATCCACCGGCAGCGATCGAATGTCCGACTCCACTTGGCTATCAGATGCTTCCCTCCAGTCAGCGCCCCGCCGAGCTTTCATATAAACCGGGCCCCAGCGCCGCCATAGGGGCATGCATCCGTCGCATCGGGAGAGTCAACGGAACCTCTCGTATGAGACGACCTGAGCTCCCACTTGGCAGCGCTCTCGGGCGCAGAAAGAGCCCGCTGCTGATTCCCAGATCTTTCCGCGGAATGATCTGCTTCGGACTTTTTAGGGTGATGCCCGTCAAAACTTAATTCGCACTAAATTCCCCCCCGAATATCTGATTTTAAAAATCATTTCCAGCTGGCAAGGATAATCTAATAGCTTGGATAAAGTCAAAAGTTTGCCCTTTATTGGCGCGCTCTCCCGACGAAAAACTTTTGACTGCGGCATCAATTCTTGCTGAGTTTATTGGTGACTGAGATGCTCGGTGTCGCCCGCACACCCACCAAGTTTAGTTGGAATATCCATAAAGTGCGCCTCATCCTCAAGTAACGGGGACCCACTCGTGTCACGGAATACTCTCTCTCTCTCTCCCTCTACTTTCGTTTCATTTATGGCGCCAATGCCGCCGATCCCGCCATTGACTAAATTGGTGATCCGTACCGATCGTATGACAATGGTCAACTCACACGTGGCAGGACACAAATTTTCTCCGTTTCCCTTTCTCCTTCGTTTCCTTAGACGTCAGGGAGGACGGCTTCGCGTTTCCAATATCTCGACGACCTTAGATCTGATAAAAGGGTATTTTTTTCATCATCGACCGATATCAATCTAGTATTCGATTATAGATTGTTTATCGTACTTACGAGCTAGTTTATTTTGCTATTTTGAGAATGCAATTTTAAGCGATAAAAAAGAAGAAGTCGACGATAATTTGTGAGCTGAAACCGTGAACGAGAGAGAGAGAGAGAGAGAGAGAGAGAGAGAGAGAGAGAGAGAGAGAGAGAGAGAGAGAGAGAGAGAGAGAGAGAGAGAGAGAGGAGGCATGTCCCCGATTGGGTGACGATGCCGGAGGTAAACTTCGTGCCGCCGACATCGCGGCGACTTTAGATCCGATAAAAATGGTGATTTTTCATCACCGGACGAGATCAAATTATTGTTTAAAGACAAGTAGTCATCATAATAACAAGCTTGTTTATTTTTAGAATACGATTTTAGACGATAGTCGTCGGTGATAACTTGTGAGCTGAAACCGTAAAATCTAAACCAGGCCCCGGCGCCGCCATTGGGACATGCATTCCTGGATCCGGAGGATCAGTGGGACCTCTCGTAGGAGACGATTTTCTTGAGCTCCCAGATGTCCGTTCCCACCTGACAGCGTTTCAGCGGTGACGACCGTCTGGCGGCGGCAACAGGACCCCCTCTCGAATACAGAAAGAGCCAAGCATTGATTCCCACATCAACCAACTACCCACATCAATCGAGGGCTCCCCTTAATTGGCGTGCCCTGACGATGAAACGTAGACTGCGACGTGACATATTGCCCATTGAGATGCTCAGGTTTCGCCCCGACCCCACCAGTTTTGGTTAGAATCTACGCTAAACGCGCTTCATTGATGTCACAAAATACTCTCCCTCTATCGCCCTGTCTCTCCTCTCTCTCCTCTCTCTTCATGTGCATATATACATATAGACGACTCTCATGCCTGCGTTATTTGCATTATGAGCAATTTTGACCTAGCGACGGCGTGTCAGCGGGCCAAATTCCACGTTCTTAATACGTGACGAGTAGAGGAGAGAGAGAGTGCCGACGGGTACCTCCGCGTGATTGTCTCGTACATTTAACGGCGAGGGATTGTCACTAAAACGAGCCAATTTTACAGCGAAGACTAGTACACGTCACTCTGGCGCCATTTTAATCGCTAATATTTTCGGCCGTTAATTTCACATGCCACTTTGTCTCTACTTTCATTTCATTGATGGGACCAATACCAATCTCTGCATTTATTAAATCACTGTCCCGTGCTAACGAAACTGATTTAACTACGATATATTTTTTTCAAGTTTTAGTTGGGGCGTGAACTGTTCCGCAAGGCAAGTAGCAATTTTTCCTTCTTTTCCCTTTCTCCTCCGTTTCCTTAGACGTCAGGTTGGATCGACTTCATGCGGCCAATATTTTTTTATCATTATTCGATTTTTTAGTTAAAAGATTGTGTTTTTTTGGTTTTTTTAAATATATGCTTAAACGATATATATATCAGAGAGAGGTCATAGGTGGGGTGACGATGTCGGAGGTCACGGTGGGAACGGTGGAGGCGTATGACGAGAGAATTGTCCTTGGAAGTCGTGTTCTTGGTTGAAATTGAAGGTTGGACAAACTATCTTCTTAGTTAGTCTCACCTGTGGCCGTCATCTGATGGGGAGGCTCAAGATCAGATAGAGTCGAGCTATCGTCATTCGTTTTTGCTGTATGTTCCTCCCGGCTTTCATCCTCGCCGTCCATACTCTTAGATTCAAAAAAATGAATCCCTCTCCATCTCTCCCTCTTTTTTTGTTCCGTACTCTCCCCTCTTCTCCATTCCCAAATTCCAGCCTTAACAGTCTCTTTGTTGGTCATCCGGGATGGTCAACGCGGGAACTAGATTTGGGTGCAGTTTAGGAGGTTGCCTACGCTGAGCACGAGATCGACGCCACAGGGAGGTACGCCAGTAACAACGATCTGCAGCTCGAGCTAGCGAACGTGTACTACGGTGAAACTAGTCGCAGTCAGTTCGTTCCCAGAGCAGTTCTCATGGATCTGGAGCCTGGAACCATGGACAGTGCCCGGTCGGGGTCGTACGACCAAATCTTCCACCTGAACAACTTCATGTTCGGCAGTCCGAAGCTGCGAACATGAAAGGACCCTCTTTTAGTCGTGGGACGATATCAAACTTGGATGGAAGGGAGACCCAGGATGGACAGCGAGAAAGGAAGGTAGCACTATGATAATATGGAATAGAAGGAAGAGACAAAGAGAGAACGAGTGAAGAGAGATAGAGAGCTTGTGAGACCCCCGAGATAGACCAATTCGAAACATTCAAGTTCCAACTTCTCTTTTCGAAGATACATCCACACTTAAGTGTCGACACTTATCTTTTCTACAAGGTGGTCAGGTTCTCTTCCACATATTATAGGGGTCTATGAGTATCTCATCACCGGCCCAATGGTCACTACACCGAGGGTGCTGCGCTTGTCAATTCCGTTCTGGATGTTGTGTGCAATGGGCTGGAGAACTGCAATTGTCTTCAAGGTTAGTTACTCCTTATCCTCACCTGTTTTCATCTTGTATGGTATTCATTCTCTGAAATATGTGTAGCGATGTTGCAAGCAAACAGTGATAGTGATGGAACCTAGTGAAAAGGGAAAGGAAATGCCCAAGAGATGGGGAAATAATCTCCGGTGTGGGACCTACCAGTTGAAAAAGCAAAAGTCTTTGAGGACACCAGAGTACAGTGGAATGAAAGACGACAGAGATGGGAGGGAGTTTGGTGCAAGGACCGAAGGGGAACTCACAATCTACTCTTGATAATGGGCAACTTAGAGATGGTCAATCTCTTATTTTTCGACTACACTGTCCGCCCCGTCTTCTGTCGAGGCTTCTATTTGTAGCCACCACTTCGTGAGATTGACATTAACATCTTTTTTTGGTTGTTATTGCCTGATGGTCTCTAATTGTTGATGGGTCATGTCAGACGAGCGGCAGTTAGCGGTGGTTTAGCCTTGAGGTTTTTGGCGGTGGGGATGTCCTAAGTTTGGGAGTGCCCATCAATACTCCCTCCTCGAAGCCTTACCTTGTCTACAACGGAAAAGTGGGAAAACCTTTGTAAGATTATGCAAGTAGGTTCTCATGTAAATTTGGAAGGGGTTGGGTTTCCCATTGAATGACCACCTCAAGTCCATGTGGGCCTTGTCTTATGTCAAGGAGTGCTGCTGGGTTGAGTCTGTCGTTGGGTTCGAAGGTAGGAGGCAGTAGAGCTTGGGTGTCCATTGGCGTTGGGAGAGGGCTTTTTTGAGTTGCAACTTGTGGAAGATTAGGTGGATACTGGAAGAGGCCGGTAAGTCCTCGGGGTAAGCCACAAGGCTGATCCTCTAGAGGATCAGAAATGGCCCATAGTAGCTTGGGCCCAATTTTTCATTGCACTAGCCTTTGAGCAAAGTTCACCAGGGGAAGATGTAGGAAGACACTAAACTCTAGCTCATACCGCTTCCTGTTGGCATACATGTTCATATGGA